TATTCCAGTATTTCTTATTTACATCATTCCTGTTTGAAAAGAATCACTGGTAAGAGATTTAATATTTATTGTATCATTAATCACCTCAGTACTTCCAGTTTCACAATGCAATGATTAAGTTAGTTTATTATCTTTGCTATTTAAACGGGAAGTCACTGGAGTAGTTTCCCCACTGAGTTGTGGAGTGTATGGAATATTTATAGTGCCCTCTGAGCCCACCAGAATAATTTTATATTTGACTCGTTCAGAGTGGTCAAGAGGGTACTGGCTCATTTTCAGATGCATCCTGTATATGTTATGAGTTAATGACCAACAATCAGGCATGAACTGAGGGTTCATGGTATCCAAGAAGTGCTGTCTCCATCTCTGCTCAAGTTTCACTAAACCAAGCTTCTCGTATACCTCATAAACCTTTAATCCATGAGCTTGGTAATTTTCATTCCAGATCTTCACATCCATGTTAGCTGCATCTTCTAGATACTTTGTAGTTATTGTATCAATATTAAAGTAATTTTTAACAATACTCTCAAGTTCTTCAATTCTGTTTTTTGGGATGCCATCATAACTTCTCAGTAAAGCTCCAGCGGCATTCCTAACAATCTTGCGAGCACTGTCGATAACAACTTTCACATCTCGTTCAGTACCTATAGGAGCATTAAATTCTTTTGCTAATATGTGTCTCAAGGCATTGTCATGCAAATTGCTTAGTCTGTGGCATTCTAAACAAAGTAGAACTACATCGTGGCTTTGATGATCTTTCAGTATGTCCGGGAAATGTTTACGATATTCATGAGGCACAACATTTTTCCTAATGTAAGACTCACCCTTGCCACACACTACACAGATATTGTGCCGTTCCAGGAGATAAAATTTCCCGTCATCTTTCTCAACTTGTGGACGGCCTGCAGGCTCAAAATTTAGACGCACAACAAGTGGGTTCTCACTGATCTTGACCCCAAGACCCCTTTCTATGTACCACTGTGCTTTCTTGGGGTCACAAGTGCATAGGGGTTGATCATCTGGGGCTCGAAGTTGGCAGTTATGATACAGAGGGCCCCTACGTGTGGAGTATGCTCGGGAGATGGATTTGAGCTTCATGGAAGGTGCAGATTGACTGTTAGATGCAACCTCTGTGGAAGATGTGTTCTTGTCTTAAATAATGTGAGAATGTACCATATATACCCAAGTGTAAATCAAGAGTTTAAGACAAAATTTTTAAACAAATAATAGGGGATCATTATGTTCCTGAGTAACATTTTTAAGAGGTTGAAATATTTACATGTTGAAGGCCTATGGCCTTCTTATTTCTTTGGCCTATCAAGGCAAAACCATACTTGGTAACCTCAATCTATCTTAACCCCTACTCATTCCAAATGTATATATACGTTCTCTCGCCCAGTGCCCTGAATATTTTAAAAAATAAAAAGAGTCATATTATTTCATTGAACTAAAGAGAAAATTTTTCTAAGTGTTATAGGATTAAAATAAAAAAAATAGGGTCAGTACTTACTGAGATATGAGGCTGCAAAGTTGGCACTTAATGCTCACCTGACGGCAACATTGAGTCCTGCTGCTTGTAGAAGTGTTGCCGATATACCATTTTTTCTCATTTTTATATTTTATATAATTTTTATGTTCTGATAATTACAATTTATTGTAGTTCTTGTCATTTCATAACCAATCTTTGTTCTGTCACTAATATTAGGTACTGAAATTATACTCAAATTATCACAAACACATTGAGAGGTGGACATTTACACCTGCCTTGGTCATTTACTATTGTCCGGGAATATATACAAAGTATTTATAGGTCCCAGCAATGTTTTGGATACAGAGGAGTATGGAAGAAGGAAAGAAAGAAGGAGGAGGAGGAGGAGGAAGGAAGAACGAAGAGTTCCCTTGAAGTAAAGTGTAAGACAAGTGGCAGTGACAAGTATCCGGGAGGGCAGTGATCAGATGAGATAAGGGATGACATTTGATGGGCGCCAGCAGGATGCAGAGATATGATGAGATAAGGGATGACATTTGATGGGCACCAGCGAGGGTGCAGAGATAAGGGGTGACATTTGATGAGCTCGTATCTCTGCCTCTGATTATCTGTGTCTCTGTCTGCTTGTCTCTTTCTATCTCTCTGCTTGTCTCTGTCTCAGAGAGAGCCACTGTGAACCAACAGGTATTCTTATGCATTATATCTACAAGCACAGTATAACACTTCAGATTTTTTAGGTTATCCTAGGTAATTTACACTATGTATAATTATATATGTGTGTACCTGTGAGACAGATAAAAAGAGATAAGAGAAAGACAGAGACAGACGTACCCTAAACTTGGGGTTAACATCACTTTCCTCTTAAAAGAGGAGTGTTAATATCACATTACATCATGAATCCTTGGTGTTTGCCGCACTGTTTGCTCTACCTGGCGCTCAATTTAACTGGCGCTCCCACAAGGTACTAAGTGGTCCCAGACTTTTTGTTAACCCTTTCAGGGTCTGTGCCATAGATCTACGACTTTACGTTCAGGGTCCAAACCGTAAATCTACGCCAAAATTTTAGCGGCGTCAAATTTAGCGCGAAAAGGCTGGTAGGCCTACATGTGAGAGAATGGGTCTGCATGGTGTGTGTGCACCATAAACAAAAATTCTGGGCGCTCACATAGCATTGTGGGAACGCCAGCTCCGTTACCTTTGTTCACCATGCCTTGTTGCAAGGCAGCTCTCACTCCAAGGAAAATTGGGACTCTCCTCTTCCTATCTGATAGCTCTGAGTCTCATGGAAGTGGAAATGAAAACGAATTCTTTGGCTTTGATCAGTTAGTGACCGAAAGGAATGACCAGGATATCGATAATAGTGCAGAAAACCCTGACGATCCTCAATCTTCTACCTCTGGTGTGGGCACGCCTCAGTCACGTTAAGTTGTACCTCATCACAAGAGAAAACTATTATTTTCGCATGGCCAGGCCTCTGACTTCAGTAATGATGATGATAGTGACGTGGATTGTGATTTTATTGCGCTTGACAATCATTCGAGTAGTGATAGTGAGGAAACATATTCACCAGTGAAGCGTCGGTATATACGCCACCGCATGCGCTCGGGTAGTGTTCCCTATGCAGTGCCCAGGGGACAGAGTACATCCCGTGGCCCTACACCAGGAATAGACAGTGAAAGTGAGAATGATGTGGCTACACTTGGCATGGATAGATCACAGGCATCAGTAGGTGGTGGTATTGGTGGTGATGGTGGTAGTGGTGATGGCAGTGCCACGGCCATGCATGACTCACCAGCCCAGGCTGGGACCCACGCTGCTGACTCCTCAGTTCAAGGACAAAGTAGAGCATCAGCCACCAGCCCACACAACCACAACTACCAGCACAACCAGCTTATGATGTCCAGTATCCACCAGCAAACCGTATCTGGGATTGGCAGCAAAATCCCAATTTTGTTCCCAAGCCCCACCAGTTTGATGACTCTCAAAATGGAATTCTACCTACTTGTCCCCTTGGAAACACTGCAAATGAACTGGAATTTTTTGAACTATTTTTGACCAGCCATTGATGGAAACTATTGTCAGGGAAAGCGACAAGTATTTTGAGTACACCATGGCAAATACGATCATATCACCACAGTCAAGACTACACCGGTGGAAAGAGACGACTGTTGCAGAAATGTATTTGCTTTTTTGCAACAATAATGTTTATGCCTCATGTCTATAAGCATAACATAAAATCATACTGGTCCACAGATCGGCTAATTTTTACCCCGGTCTTCAGTGAAATCATCCCAGTGAACAGGTTTATCTTACTGTTACGTATGTTGCACTTCTCTGACAAAACCAGGCCTGACAGAAGTGGCAGGTTATACAAGATTAGAAATGCTTTTATGTATCTGAAACAAAAGTTCAACATTGTATTTTTTACCCATTGAAAAATCTTGTATTTGACGAGTCTTTGATTTTGTTAAAAGGTAGATTGTGTTCAAAACATTTAACAGTGGCCCCCCGCATAGTGACTTTAATCCGTGCAAGAGGGCTCTTGTTATGAAAAATGACGGTATGTGAATGAATTTCCCCCTAAAAAATAATGAAATCAAGTTTAATCCTGCAAGACACCCAAAGTATGAAAAAAAAAATTTTCCCTGATGAAATATACTTTTAACACAAAGAGAAGGTCATGCACAATATAAGTAGTACATGCAAAATATAAAAAGTAGTAATGCACAATGTGGAGTACATGACAATTACGGGGGCCCCCCATAACGATCACCTCCGAATGCGACCAATTATGTAAGGTATTTATGTAAGGCTTTTGCACGGTATGTTTGGGGGTCTGAAATGGATAATCTACTTCACAATTTTCCCTTTAGGGGAAAACAAATTCGGAGTACGGGGCCCCTAAAATATTCTGGGTGAAAAAAAATCGTTAACCGGGATCCATGTTATTGTGCATGTACTACTTACTAATGAAGAATAAATGACATTCCCTTTTTTGAAGATGCGCAATGACTGTAGCACTGTGTTGGGGGTCCCTTTTCCCCTAGTCTGTAGGTCCTTTTTGGTTTTTTCTTCCAAACGGGCCCTTTATCACAGTGTATTCACTCGATTTTAAATCCTCAAACAACCCTTTTGCTGGTTTAAATTCACCAATATGACCCCTAGTTCCAGGCATTTTTCCCTGTTACCTGGGTTTTAGTCGACGGTTGGGTTGCATCCTTCTGAAACGTCATTCTATGTCCCCAAAATATTCAAAAAAAAAAAAAATTTTTTTTTCTTATGAAAATTTTGGAATATTTTTATAGTGTTTTAGCCAAAAAAAAAAATTTTTTTGCCATCGTACTTCCCGAGATATAGAGCCGCAAAGTTTCAGAAATTGACGTGCGTTACGGCAACAGCGGGACTGCCCCCCACCCGGATTCTTTTTTTTTAAATTAAAAAGGTTTCTTGCTTTTTCAAATTTTTCTTTTAGGAATTATGTCCCCTGTGGACCAATGAAAGGTGCATTGTTCAAATAAAACCTCTTATTTAAAAACCCCAAAACAGAACAAACTTTATCACTATTGTTTGTGTATCCCTTTTGTTTACACAAACAAAAAATCCCAAAACAATGTTTTTACTATTGTTCCAAATATATATACATAGTACAGTCACTAACCCGTTCCTAGAACGCTGCAGCTTGTGGGAAATTTTGAAAAATGGGTATTTGCAAGGGGCACTTCACACCCTCACACATAAAACAGGGTCCTTTGGGGTTTGTGGGCGTTTTGTGGTATGCATACATTTCTAACACCCCTTCGAGCATTTTCTTGGCAGTATAGGAGGGGTTGTATGGGGGTAAACACCCGGGCCCCATACGGATTAGTCTGTGGGCGCTGGTTATTGCGGAGTTGCTCCCTTTTACTTTTCAATTATTTGTTGTTACGACAGCAAAAATTACCATTTTTGGTGTTTTGTTGGGTTTTAACTTTTTATGTTATAAGCATTTTTGATAGGGTATAAAAAGATGGAAAAAAAAAATTTTTATATACCACTTATAACTCTTTCGTCACAGTCTGCAAACCCCAAACTGCATGTCCATTTGTCCACTAAGCGCATATTTAGGTTTAGTCCCTGACACTGCGGCTTTAGAAAGGGGTTTATTGGTCTCTTGTTGTCCCGCCACTGGGTACCATTTTGTTTGTGGGAAAAGATGTAACAAAGTGACTCACGTTTGTCATGCCACCGAAATGCCTGTGTCTTGGCAGCAAAGCTTGCACCTCCCTCTGCGAGTGCCCGTCGAACCTTGGCATATGTTTGGATTACCCCGCATGGCCACACAGTCTGTAAGTTCATCGCAAAAAAAAAATGGAAGGGGGTTTTTGGGACCAGTTTCGTAAATAAATTGCCCTACCCAAGAATGGTTCCCTCATTGTTCAAACCACATCACCAGGGTACCCAATAACTCATGGTTCTTCAAGTATTAGCAGTGTACACAAAAATATCTAAAAAAAGACCCCTTTGCAATCCAAGTACAAATGCTTTTTACCCCAAAACTTTCCTCTTGTTGGTATATATTGCTTGAATGGGTCTTCCCTTTTTAAAAATCAAGGACTCATCAATACAAGCTTTGAAGGGATAAAAATACAGCAGCACTTTTGT